CCCGGGCCCCGCCCGGGGGGGGGGTGGGGGGAGGGGCGGCGGATTTGGGACAATTCCGGCCGGTTTGGGGCGTCGGGAGGCGGGGGGAGCGCGGGGACCCCCCCCGGACGTGGCATGCGGGCACCTCCCGACCCCAAATCCCCCCAAAACCGGCGGAAAACCGCGACCTTCGGGCGGTTTGACCGATTCGGCCGCTTTTCCCCCCAAAAATGGATTGTGCTGACAGGGTGTGTGTGGGGGGGGTCTCGTGGATGTTTTTTGCAGCCCCGCCGGCCCTGCCCCCGCCAGAGGAGTCTCCAAGAGCCAGACTGGGGCAAAAAACCCCAAATCAGGGTCTGCAGGAACAGTAGGGAGCCAGAAATTGGTATTTGTGCCGCTTTCACCCCAAAATGGGCCACTCCAGGGATGGAAGGGGAGGGGGAGCTTTGGGTTTGGCTGCTTTCCCCCCCAAAAATTGCTAAAATTGCCTCAGGATGCGCTGCTTGTAGGGCCCGCCCCCAAGCTGGGAATTTAAACCAAAACCAGGGGTTTTTCCACCCAAAAAAGTGCTTAGTCAGCGCTTTCGCGTGGTGCCTGGGGAGGGGGAGGAGCTTTTCAACCGTTTTGCCCAGATTTTCCCCCAAAGCAAAGGGATGGAGGAGCAGGTGTGGGAGAAGGGGGGTTGGGTGTTGTCTCTCTCCCCTCCCCACAGTGACAGTGCCAAAACCGTCTTGATTCGCCCCAAAATGGACAATTTCCTCCAAAAAAAAAGGCTTAAAAACTAGAAATTCCCCCCAAAATAAGAGGCAGGAAAAGGTGAGCCAGCAGAGTAAGTACCGGCGGGGCCCCGGGACGCGCCGACCCCAAAATCCCCCGTTCTCGGCCCGAGCTGCGAGGGGGGCGCGTGATTAACCCCAAAATCCCCATTTCTGAGCTAATTCTGCGCCGGGGGCGCGCGTGGGACCCAAAGTGGCCCTTTCTGAGCCCGTTTAGCGCCGGGGGCGCGCGTCCGACCCCAAATCCCCGTTTCTGAGCCCGTTTTGCGCCCGGATCGCGCGATCGACCCAAAATCCCCGTTTCTGACCTCGTTGTGCTCCGGGGGCGCGGGATTAACCCCAAATCCTCCGATCTGAGCCCATTTTGCGCCCTAAATCTCCCTTTCCGGCACAATTTTGCGACCGGGACGCGCCTGTGACCCCAAATCCCCGTTTCTGAGTCTGTTTTGCGCCTGGGCCGTCGCTCGGACCCAAAATCCCCATTTCTCCGCCCAAATTGCGCCGGGGGCACGTACTGGGCCCCAAACCCCCCAAAGTGCCCGTTCTTGGGTGTGCTCCGGCCCCAAATTCCCCACATTTTGCCCCAAATCGCACGGGGCGGGGCCGGACACGTTTTGGGGAGGTTTTTTGTTGTTTTTATTTTCCCGTTTCGGGAGGTTTTTTCTTTTCCTGAGAAAACTTTTCCCCGTTTTCTCAGGTTTTGCTTTTTCTCCTCTGGACCCAAAAAGGCCGAAAAAAAAGCAAAAGGCGCCGGTGGTGGCACCCCCGGGACCCCCCCGGGGCGGGGTTCGACCCCCCGCGGCGCCGCTGCTGCTGGCCTGGGCCCTATCGCGACAGAGACCCCCATATCGCGACAGAAGCCCCCTCATGTCACGACAGGGAGCCCCATATCATGGTGGAGTCCCCCCATTTCTTCTCCTTGCCTTGGAGATGTCAAAATCCAGAGAATAGGATGGGCCCCGTATCCCGACAGGGACCTCATATCGCGACAGGTGCCCCCACGTTGCGATGAGGACCCATTATCACGACCGGAACCCCCCCTCGTTTATTCACATGGCTTTGGGTGACCCATGGTACAGGGACAGGGGGATTCCATGTCGTGACAGGGACTCCTTATTGCGACAGGGACCCCCTGCCCCTCATTTTCCAGAGCCCCACACCGGGTGACCCACGGTTCCAGGACGGGGGGTGCCCCGTATCACGACAGGGATCCGGTATCACGATAAGAACCCGCGTTCTGCAAGCGCTGCGTGTCCCGACAGGACGCTGGATCGCTCTGAAGACAGGACCCCCTGTCGCGACAGTGCTCCTGTATCGTGACAGGGCCCCCGAGCCGAGGAGCCAGGACCACGAGGGGGCGCTGCCTCGCTGTGAATCCCCGTTATCGTGACAGACTCTGCGACGGAACCCCCCTGTCGCAACAGGGACCCCCAGTGACCAATAAACTGCAGAGTCCCGACCGGCCTTGTGTCGTCATTGGGGCTAGGGGGGTGGCATTGGTGCATGTGATGTCATTGCTTGTTCACACTGACGTCATAGCAACGCGGGCTGGGTCCGCTTGGTGACGTCACCGCCGCTTCCTGCCGCGTGTCCTTTAGAAGCCCCGCCCCTCCCTGCTAGTGTCGGCCTCGCCCCTTTTTCGCCCCGCCCCTTTCTCGTTCCTGGCCTCTTATTGGTTCCTCCAGGCCCCTCCCCCGCTCCTTATTGGCTCTGTCAAGCCACGCCCTTCGCTCCTCCCATTCCCCACCCCTGCCCTCTCATTGGCTCACCCAGACCCCACCCCTGGTCTTTCATTGGCTCACTGAGGCCCCGCCCCCCAGGTCCGTCACCGGATCCTCCCGCCCGGCGCCGCCGCCGCTTCCTGCGGGCCCGCTCCGGCCCCGGGACCCCCTCGGAGCCCCGGGAGCCCCCGGGAGCGCGGGCCCGGCCCCGCCATGTGGCTCTTCTCCCGGGACCCGGTGCGGGATTTCCCCTTCGAGCTGGGCCCGCCCGACGCGGATCCCGACGCGGAGCCGCTCCCGGACCCCGCGGCGCCGGCCCCGCTCTGGCGGCTGCTGCGGGGGCGCCGCAAGGTTGGGGGGGTTTGTGTGGGGAGGGTCCCGTGTCCCCTCGTGTGTCCCCTCCCTGTCCCCGCATCCCTGCATGGCCACGGCCCCGCCATCCCTGCCCCGAGTCCCCCCCGTGTCCCCACGACCCCCATCCCCTC